GGCCCAATTGACATAATGGAATTTCGCTGAGGAATTTTACGAATTCGTATCTGCCGCGGTTTCCCATCGCTGAGATTCCACTGTTCGTTTAGATGAACGCCTCTTAAACTCATTCATAATAAAATGGGGTAGTTGGAAAAGCCTGGAGTGGATTTAGCTGCTTTTTTATCAAGGCGGCTGGATCACGCAAAAAAAATATATATATAGATTACCGGGAGATTTTCATGACAACCGTACAAACAGAAAAAACGGTCCAAATCCGGGAGCCTCCCGGCCAATCCGGGAGACTTGGCAGGTATGGCGTAGTCTCCAAGACATGCGTTTTGAAACCGAAAACACTTAAAAAAATATGTCACAAGGTTGCACATCTCAAAGGCCATGCTTTTCAGGCTCGCATGCCATTGTGTGCTAACAAACAAGGAAAGGAATGCGAACCACATACGAACATTGCACTGAGATCACCGAGTCAGTTCGCATTTTCTTTCAATGCCCTCAACAATCGGTATTTTGGAAAACACTATGCCTGTGCGGTAAGACGTGCAGATCGCGCATCAAACGCACCGACGTACACGCAAGTGCTGCGCAACGAACCAGATCAGCCCAATAAAATGACACTGTTTTGTCGTTGCCTGCGCACGAAAAAGGATCGGAACTTGTTAGAACGTGGCCTAAAATTGATCAATATTTGCTAAGAAAAATGCACTTTCTGGGTTTAGGCGCGGCGCAGCGTTTGATATAGTGGATGTCCCGCTGTGCGAGAGTTCAATATACGGGTGCACCGATCCCATGCTTTTACATGGGAAATTCAAAGGGATTTTTCAACAGTTCGATATAGCCAATGATTCTATATATCAGAGTTTGATACATCCAGGATCGACTGTATTTACATTATTAGGTTGAATTGTTCATGGGCGATTCCTATAGAAAATATGAGGGTTTCCCCTTCTTTAGGGTTATTTATTTGTATCGGGGAAATCCACGTATCTACGGACAGTGCTTCATCTGATGTGCCAAGCCCCATGCCCCCGTGCATTATCAAGTCTCGGAAAGTATCTCGAAATTGCTTGCCCTAGAATACCACCCAGAGTTTTGTCTGTTTCCCTCGTGTTGCTGCTAACTCAACATGTTCACTTTCATGTTTCTCTGACAATAATTTTAGAGCTTCATTTCACAGAATTTATTGAGGTTATGTGCAGAAATTCTCACAGCTGTCAGATTCTGTCTCCATGCAGAATCGTAGCAACAGTATTGTCCTACTTGCAACTACGACCAGTTTAAATAGCCACCTCGTAAATTAATTTTCCTTGCAGTTCATTACCTGTACATGGGGTTGGTGGGAGACAGAAAGATAGGTGGGGAGATGAGATTAAGAAGATTGTGGGTATAAAGTAGCAGCAGCAAGCACAAGACCGAGTCGACTGGCGGAACATGGGAGAGGCATTTGCCCTGCAGTGGACACAGTCAGACTGATGATGATGATGAAATGGTCATGACGTAAGAGACCAGTCGTCGCCTTATCGAGGCGAAGCTTATTCAATTATTGCTTGGGCCACTTCGCTGACAGCGCATCGAAAGAGTTCATTTCGACTTTCTGGTGCTTGTGTTAGAATCATTACTATCAGCGATGCTCCCATGTGAAGTGAACATAACTGATTGTGATGTGGCGGTAAATAACCCCAGCATTTGACGCAAATCAGGGTATGCGACTACGCAATCCTCAGTGACGGTTGAGAAGAAACATGTACATATGATACGACAAAACGGACATATCCAAACATTTCCGAAATCATTGTGTGCACGGCAATACTATTTTATTTATTTCCCAAATATGTGAAGTTTGTGATTATGACAGTCAGACTCTATGAAAACTTTTCCGGCACGAGCAAAAAAAAAAGCGGTATTGCAAAGAAAAAAAATTTGGTCGCTCAGCTTTTTTCTTGCACTTCACTCATCCGCGCGATCGAATGTCGGCTGCGGCGGCTGCATTTTCTATAGAAGCGAAAATGCTTTAGGCCCTTGTGCTAAGATTTGGGTGCACGTTCAAGAAACCCAGGTGGTCGAAATTTCTGGAGCCGACCACTGTGGTGTTTTTCATAATCATATGGTGGTTTTGGGACGTACATTAAACCCCACACATCATCATCAGCACTTCACTCATCTTAGGTGGTTGAAAGCACTATCTTCTGCAAGCTGTTCCCACGCCGCCCGTGCACGTCATAAAAACATTTCGCGCTTATTTCCTTTTGCAATCGTTTAACCGCAACAGTAGTATCTGCTCTAATCTCGAGGGGTGCCCAGAAGCGTGCGCTATGACCCACTTAGCCAACTTCATGGCAACTTCGCAGGGCGACCACTACGACGCCATTTACATTGTAGCAAGCAACCAACATTGCAGCAAGCTACCGCCGAAGCATCAAAACAAACCGCTGATAACAAGATTAACGAAAAAATACGGCGGCCGCCTCGCTTGCAACCGAAGCGAAAACTGGGAAGCATGTTGCGGAAATAGTCACAGTCTTTTCTGGGTGACATGCGATTTGTTTCTGGTTTTCGAGAAACATGCGATGCGATACCGATGACTGGCCCTTCGCGACAGTCACAGCGACAGCTAATTTTGTTGTCATCGCTCTGAAATTGCATGCATGCGATTGGGCCTTAATGTTTCTTATTAGCAGGAAGCAACCGTCAGTTGGCGCAGGAAGTTTCGTGACCTTCGGTCGCTGTGTGCTTGTCAGCTGCGATGTCTCAACACTCACACCGTTCGTTAACCTCGCTGCTGTGGCGAATAGATATAGAATAGAAAGGACTAGGTATGTGCCACGCACAGATAGAAAGAAAAACTACCGTATTTACTCGATTCTACCGCACCCTCGATTGTAACACGCACCCGATTTCCACGACAAAAAAAAAAAAAAAAAAAAAAAAAAAAAAAAAAAAAAAAAAAAGAGAGACATCGATTGCAAGTTGCACTTATTTTTCTCGTTGGCCCGCACGATCACACTACTCGGGAAAACTACTCCTTTCGGAAGCGTCTTCCGTTTAAATATGAGGTACGGGGGAAGCGTGTGCCCATCTGACGTGCAACAGAGCATTGCCGTCACTCTAGTTTTACCGTGGCCTGATGTCAGCACGCGAACTTGCTTCGCCCCCTTCTTCTCGACGGTTGTGGTGCCAGTCATGTCGAAGTAAAGAGGCGTCTGATCGGCATTCCCGATTTGCCCTAGCAGGTAGCCGTCGTTGTGCCGCAAGTTAAGGAGGAATCTCTGAAAACTGTGAAGTTTTTCATCGTACTCCTACGGAATCTTTTTGCATATGCTCGTTTGCCTTCGGAGGGAAAAGCCTTTCCTCTTCATGAAGTTAGTTAGCCAGCACCTACTCGCTTTAAACTGGCTCCGCATTACCCCTTTTTCTAAGGTTAACTTCTGCTTTTGTTTCCCCCAGTCCCACACGCACGTTTCGGGAATTCCAAACGACCGAGATGCGGCCCGATTTTCGTCCGTTTCTGCACACGCGATGACTTTTCTTTTAAAAGCGGCATCGTGATGCACTCGTCGAGTTTTTAGAGTCGGACCTTCCATGCCATCGATGCTAATGCATTACAAGATGATGAACTCCTCAGCACACGTACGAAGTGCCGCGCATGGGAAACACATAGGCAGAAATGGCCAACGCGCCATGCCGACGCACGTAGGGGGCGACCATTTTGGAAATGCCGATGGCAATATAATGACCGTATTCATTTGTTTTGTTTTTTTCGTACTTGATTCTAGCGTGCATTTACGCGTGCGTACTTGATTCTAGCACGATTCGGGGTTGTCGCAGGAAAAAGAGACAAGCAGCAGTGGAGAAGGAGCGACCTTGCCGTGAGGTCACATTGCCGTGACCGCAGCGACGCCAGTGTTCGTTCTCGGGGCTAATAGGCACCGCTCCTTCGTCATCCTGGAAAGCAGGCACTCACTCTTGAGGCATTGTAAGCTGCTACAAAAGTTTAAAAACGATGAAGAGCTGAAAACTGCCCGTCAAGTTCTACCGTTTCCGATGCAAGCAGTGTAAGGAGCAGAGCCATCACGAGTGGATTATGACAGTTCACCGCACTGAGAGATAATCCAATGGTCTTCTTACTTTGAAGAGTTTTTTGTTGTACCCAGTATTACGAAATATTAATGGGGAGAAACATGATGACCAGACTCATTTGAAAGGGAAGTGCAGATGTAAACTGAAGCTACAACAAGTGGAAAACCGATGTACATTTCAAGATTACACGCTGGCTACTACTCATCTGGTATTATTAACCTATTGCAACATCTACAAAGACACTGAAAGCAAAAGCCATTCTCAACTACACCATCTGTTATGGGCTTTTACAAAAAGCCACTGCACTTTTGACACAGTTGAAATAGAGCCACCAAGAATATGCCTCTTCCAAAGCAACCCTTCAAATAATCTGTTATTGAGAACAGGTCAGACTGCAAGAAACCGTGATGGAATCGGGTAAACCAGTTTTAAATGGCAAAGTTTACGTAAAAACGCCATGAAGTGCATATAAATATGTAAGTCGCAGGAGAAAAAAAGTCCAACGAATACATATTTTTTTTACGTTCAACCCAGCATGCTATGCCCAATTATGGGTCTGCAAACAGTTGTAACTTTTTTTAGCCCAAACAAGAGGACACAAAAAGCAAATGCCCTTGCCATATTTGTACTTTCTCTTGGAATTTTCTTTGTATCAAAATATTATTACGAATATGCCCCAACAAGACCATGATGGCATTCAGCTTGTGATCCCCGCCTTTAAATTTCTATAAAGACCTTATTTTCATTTTTAAAATCCTTGCCAATGCTAAAATTACTATATTTTGACAAAGAAGCATGTCACCTAGAGGCCAGATGTATTGCTGATATGCCCATTATCTCCTCTTCTACATGCACAAGCCTGGTAACTATATATTCCAAGTTTTTCACAAGACGCACACTGCTCCCCTTAATTCACACTGACTGACCTCTCCCTGAGTGAGGAAGTGCAGCGGCAATAGCTGTCGGTCAGCTGTCATCAGAGGAAGGAAGGCCACCTGCAGGTCATTCCGCGAGTCAGCTCCAGCACCACTAATCACTTCGGGTTCTGGTTCCATCGGCACCAGGGCTGAGAAATGACCACGTGTGTAGCCAAGTGCGATGGGGGACTTCCAGCAGAAACTTGGCTCCCAAAGGAGTGGGATGTAGATACCTGACGGGTGAAGGAAAAATAACAACTTTTTGTTGGCAAAGCCGAAGAAGCAAGCAAAAAGGACAATAGATGGCGTGGTGAGAAGCCGTGTGAAAAATAAGCAGAGTGTGAATACTGAGGTTTTCTAATTGTGGATATGTGTGTATCGCTAAAAAGCTGCAAAATAGGAAATAACCATAGCAGAACTCATTGCTGGGAAAGTTGGTTGATTACTTTGAAAAAATCAGATGCCGAACCACCACCAGAAGAAGGATGAGACAGAAGAAACTGAAAAAGTGCTTTTTTCTGTCTCTTCCTTCTTCTGCTAGTGGTTCAGCAAGCCATTTATTTCCAATAGCTTTTACCTCTCTTAAAATAAGTTAACAAAACTATTTCGTTAGGCTGGAGCACATCAAAGGTACTTCTGCTAATGCACGCAACAGAAATTATCCAGAAAGATCCACTGCTTAATATGACAACCAGGTAAGCACTCTATTCGTGCTATAATGACTCGTCTGAGCATGGGAAAGACCCTCTCCCTTGGAAGTGAGGGGGCAGGATGCAATTTAATACTCACAGATAGCTTTTCAAACTTCCATACATTTAAACAATGTTTAGGTAACATTGTTGACGGTTATTTCATTGTACCTCTTTACTAAATGTAAAAATACAGCACATGCTGCTTAAGAGCAGCAGAATGAAGCTTGGTGAAAAACCTGCTCCTGTCGCTATGGGTGTATGGGAGATAAGGCTGAAACGGAACATGCCGCTAATGCCTGCTTCATAAACACTTCTCGGTTATTACAGTAAAACATTGCTGATTACCGGGAATGAAGCATAAATACAGTAAAACCTCTTTAATTCGAAATCGCTGAGACCATATGAAATCGGAATTAAACGGGTTTTTGAATCAACGGAACATACAAAAAGTGGGATGCAAGAAACTTGGAATTATTCGAAGTAATCAAGGCTGGTGGTTTGCTGTGCTGCCTGGTTTGTGGCTCATAGGGCTCATGTTTTCCAGCAATACCAGGTCCCAGTTTTGCCACAAGCACAGGAGAATGGAAGGCCTCGCAGCTACCAGTGGGAAAAAAACACCCCATGTCGTGATTAAAGGCCAACTCTGGCGATTTTTTGAGGCCAATAGATCTCAACGAAATTCGCTGGGTATGTTGCTTTGCATGTTTCTGTCGTGCATGCCAAATTACACAATTGAGAGAAAAGCTGATTGTTTGCAAATAAAATTTAAAGATTTACCAGAAACACTCACCTGGCTTGCCAGAATTATTGGCGACATTGTCTGGGTAATGTCATGTTCGGCAAGTCAACGCTAGTGATGCAGCTGATGGCATTGCTAACTTAGGCCGCTACAGCGTTTACTATGCTAACTACAATGTGACAGCTGTAGTGTTTGGTATGCAAAAGCTTCCTCCCTTCCTCCATGGTGCTTAGCCAACACTTTGCTAGTTTGACACGCAATTTTCTGCTCCCTGTGGATTAATGTGCGAAGGGTGGTAGTTGGCCTTGCATTGTGGGCTGTGCAAACCTCTTACTCAATATGCAGAGTTTGCTATCCGGGCTTTCGAAGTGACAGTGCTCTCCGTGAGAAGTGCCTCAGTGCAATCAGGTGGGACAATAGACCACTTCCAAGCGATTCCACAAGAAGTTGGAACATCGAGCGAACCGGCTTATCCTCCGCCCCTGCTCGTTGGTGCCGTGCAAGACGAAAAGAACGTGCCGCCGCTTATTGAAAAAAGGGTCCGAACACACCTGCACGACGTATCACTGAGCAGGTGCCCATCGAACTCTAGATGATCGACATGCGAGTTGTTGCGTACCGATACATGTGCCAAAAAATGCTATCATGAGGAATGTGAGCAGGAATGCTGAATTCATAGTTATTCGATGATAAACTGCTCGTAAAGCACAATGAATTTTAATACCATTGCAGTTTGATTGGGCTGCTAACACAAGACTGCAGAGATGTGTTACAAAAAAATTTTTTAAATGTTTACGGAGAAGTCACGCACTGTAAATAAAAAAGGTAAACAAATTCTAAATGTGTTTAAAGATGAAGGGATGGAACTAGAATTTACGTGCGAGATACCTTGCTTTGTTAATTTGCGGCTTTTTATAAGATGCTTAAATGTCTCTGCGGAGAATGTTTCCTGGCAGTATACTCCGCATTGAGTGAAGCCACTGTTGAATTTCACATTGGCACATTCCAATATTGTTCAATGAGGAATAATGATGTCGTAGTTGTGCTCGGAGAAGAAAAAAAAACACTTGGGCACATTATATGGGCAATAGTTTCTAGCTGCAAAAATGCGAGTTGTTCTGCCTATATATTGCATCAGTTAGTGAACAGCTCATTCGCACTGCAAACAAACATTAATTCGGATGACCTTCACCTGCGAAGAAACTAGAAATATTGCAGTTATTTCTTGCATACGTTCTGCACAGTCAGAAAAGAAATTGGGAAGCGATACAAGGTGAGGGTTGTGTTTTCAGCACCGTATATAAGCTTAGAAACATTTTTTCCGTAGAGCGTAAAAAGGTCGCAGGGGTCTGCAGTGGGCCAAGAAACGTACTACGAGAGGCATGCCAATTGTTCTTTTAATTGTTGTGCAAGAGTTGTTAATTGAATTCCTCTTGTGTTCACATATATACTACATCGGTTAGACTGATTGATTGATATGTGGGGTTTAACGTCCCAAAACCACTATATGAATCGGTTAGACTGGTTGATGTACCAACAGGTGCCTCAGAGAGCATCAAAATTCTTTGAATGAAGCCATCTTATCTCACCTCATATCTTCAGTCATGCAAACGTGATTTCATTTTTGAAGGCCTGGTGATCTTGCACAATCACCATAACCAGAGCAAGCCAGAAATATCGGAGATATATCATAAAGACCGCCGCCCCTTGTTTAAGTCAATTAACGTTCACTATAGTAACAACACAAGAAACTTGAATTTATTAATCCACTGTAAACACATGTCTTGGTTGTTTGCTTTTTTGTACCTCTTTGTGACATGCGCCATGCACCCCCATTTTCTTACATATGTTTTTTTAACACGTGCGATAGATAACCTTTCAGTCGTGAGTGAGCGTTTCAGGTGTGAATATTTCTTTCCTGGTCCTAGTTCTTTCTTTTCACCTTGTAAGTTTTATTCCTACCTGTACTTACAGTGTCAAGGAAAGTTGGTATAACATATCGTGCAAGCGATGCGCTCACGATTTAGTGAATGTATTTTATTTTACAAATATCGGATATTTCTAAAGCACTCTTTAAATATATCAGAACCATACAATTTATTCGTAAACAGCGTCAAAGGACATTGATTCCTAATGCATTCTTGAATTTATGGACAGCACTTGCACCTTTTAGGCAACCAAGTTGAGCTGCTTTGTATTTATGCCGAAGGCGGACTGACGCTAAATGATAATAATAATTGACGCTTCTGAGCCGCCCAGCTGGTTGAACAGGGGGACAAGTGCAAATCGTAAACAGGCCATCACACCTAAACACTGAAGCTTGTGAGTGAGTCACCGAATAATACAGTCGAGCCAGCTTATAACGAACCTGAGCTTGAAGCGGCATCCGTTCGCTGTATTCCGAAGATCGCAAGAAATTAAACAGAATGTTTAAAAAAGTTGCGAGTGAAAACACAAACTTTTTTTGCCCAAAAAGTTCGTGATGCACATGTTTCGAAAAGCAGGAGCCACAAGGATGGTCTCGAGTTAACTTAAAACAGCAGGGCGCTCGTTCGCTGAGGCCTGTCGCATAAGCTGCACGAGGCACTTGCTCCAAAAGTATCGTCGTTCTCGCAATCCGATTCCTCCAAATCCCTCTCGCCACGTACTTCATTCACAATGCCCCAATCCGTGCACGGTTCCGCAGTGTCAGCATCATCATCGGCCGTAATATAACCATCGCAACAGATGTCCCACTCGCTCTCCCGGGACAAAGTCAACGAGGCGCTGCCACAAATCGCTGCCAGAGTGATCCTGTTCGGAAGCTTCGGGCTCGGCATCGGGCCCGACGTCGATGAAGACGGCCTCGCAAAAACAGTTTCGCGCGCATGTAGCGGTCACCACAACCCACGAAATATTCACCACTGAATACTGGGACGCCCAAAGCGGCAAGTTGGCTGCCAGGCAGTCAACAGCTATGAGCAAGCGCTCCGCAACACGGCACCTAAAGCGCGGCTTACGCTCAAGCCAAGCGGTCACACTTTCGACGTTTTGTTGAGCAGCAGGACAAAGCGTGCAAGTCCTCCTGTTTGCCATCCTGACCACACACGCACACCAAGAGCGAGCAAGACACGCAGACGCGACACGCATGCCAGAACGCATGGACCAGCTCTGGGCCCGTTTATAGTTGGAAAACGACACCAATTTGAGCCAGCGTGGCTGGCGTCGCGGAGCGGTGGAGACGGGCAAAGGGGTTGTGATCAAGAGAGGGAAGCAGATTTGGGAGAGAAGGGCAAGGAGTTGAGATAGAGAGGGCAGGATGCGGCGGGAGAGCGACCTTGAAAACAAAAACACACGGGAAGTAGGCAGGTTGGGTAGCTAGCATGAAAGGTCCGCGAAACACGCAACTCGCACGTAGAATAACTTGAGGAAGAGTTTTCGAACTAGAAACCGATGCTGGCGGGTTGGCGTGGCCTCACCAACTTCGATATTTCGCAATACGTTTCGCGCAAATGTACAGCCGTTTTCGCGCTTCCGCACGCGTGCGGAAGGCATACTGAGCCGAGTGCGAAGTGAGCAAAAACACGGAACGAATCGCAAATTATCAGAGTCGGTGGGGTTACATACGCACGTGCACTAGACTGAGACGATCGGATACAGTGGCCAACGATGTTGGCAAATGGTCTGGTCACTCCAGGCCGGCGACACCAACGACAGTACTAGCGATCAAAAACAGGGTAGATGGACGGCCGGTCTTCGAAAGCAGCGTGAAAACGCGGGCCTCGTGTGGCGATGCGGGGTGCTCAGAGTAGCGGGGGAAAGG